TGGACCCTACACAATGCCTGCAAAGTGGCTTCTCCATGTGGCACATAGAGAGGGTTTTAAGGGCCACGAATACTCTCTTCCACAATGCGTCAGCAAGGAGGAAGGACTTCACTGCTCTGACCAAATCCACAAAATTTCCGCTGCCCTTCTGTGGCCACTGTTGGCTCGAAAACCTTCCAGTAGTGAGCCATGGACATGTGGCCATCTCTGACCAAAATACACTGATGCAATAAATGCAAAGAATCTACCAAATCCAGGAACTGCATCTTTTGACACCTTAGAAGCTCAAAAAGATCCTCTCATCCTGGCAAAGCTGCATTTCTACGTGTCTATCATCAGGATCTTTAGTCCACTCTTGACTACATATCAAACAGATGAGCACATGATTCCATTCCTCACCAAAGACTTGGCTGAGTTAATCAAGGTAATAATACTCTAGTATTTGATACAGCTATTTTATTTGTTTTGACTGTTGTGCAGTATTGTACTTTCCTCCCACTACAGTTGGTCAGACTGGATGTCACTGATAAGAAGAACTTTCTCCATCCAAAGGAAGTAAACATAGGCATGGGTGCAGAATCAGTCCTCAAGGTAGTGTTTTATCAATAAAATGGAATTATGGATCATTTGTTATAATAGGCCATTTACATTATTTGTGACCCATCATATCAGGAGCTACAGAGTCAGAAAAAGATAGGAAAACTCACAGTCCTGGAGTACAGGAAAGACAAAGTGACGTCAACCATTATTCAGAAACTGCAGGAAAGGACCCCTTAAAGTATCCCACAGTGAGGCAGGTGGGCTGTTTGGATCCCAGCATGATGATGTCTGACCCAGACAGGTGCCAGAGTAATACAAAGAAACTGGTTCAGAAGTTTTTGCAGGCCAGCAGCTGTTAGGCGTTGTCTCTGCTGGTAGGAGAAAGTAGAGCAGTTTTGATACAAAGTTTGAATTAGTTTTACAAATTGTGCTTCTAAATGTAAGTGAAGTGTGATTCATGCATTGAAACAACATGCACCTAAATGCCATTTTTTTCTGTTGCTCCTTTTTGTTGTTTGTTGTAGGTGATGTGATCATTCAGCCGTTTGGTGACTTCTTGTCTGTTGAAGCTAGAAATTAGATATTTCTCTCCTACCAACCACTGAAACAAGGCTGGATGCATTCCTCCACAGTGTCCTGAGTCAACGCTATCAAGAACTGTGTGCCCATTTTAAATTTGCCACTGAAACACTTAAAAAAAGTTCAGATGGGGGCATGTTTACCACTGAGTTTCATCACCTCTTTTTTTAACAACACTCTGTAAGCGTTTGTGAACTGCATCAATTGCTGTAGTTTTGAAAGTTAAATGTTTTCCCATTCTTGCTTGATACCAGATTTCAGCTTAACAGTTCGGGATCTCCCTTTTCATAGTTTTTGTTTCATATTGCACCAAATGTTTTTAATGGATGACAGGTCTGGACTTCAGGCAGGGCAGTTTAGCACCAGGACTCTTTTGTTACAGAGCCAATGCAGTTATAATATGTGCAGAAGGCCTTCCGTGAAAAGTGTCTGGATCGCAACATATGTTGCTCCAAAACCTGTATATAAGGCATTAATGGTGCCTTCACAGTTGTGCAAGTCACCTATGCCATGTACATTAATGCACCCTCATACCATCACAGATGCAGGCTTTTGAAATGTAAGTTGATAACAACCTGGATGGTGCTTCTCCTCTTTAGCCTGGAGGATGCGGCATCCATGATTTCCAAAAAGAGTTTAAGACTGTGTGATGTGGGTCACTTTTCCGTAACTAAAGGTGCTAAGATGTACCCTTGAGGGTTCCACCCCTGTGACAATTTAGTACCTTTTTTCTGATAGTGTAATAGAGTGTTTTGTTTGCAATAGTGGTCGTTTTAACAAGCGTATGATATTTTTCTTTAGCTTCTTATAAACAGCTTTGTTTGGTAGTTACAACGCCTGCATGAGTTGCCAAATATGGACATGCCTCTCAGGCAATCACAAACACCTCTAAGTTTTCCTTCCTTCATCAAGTGAAGGGAAAACTCAGATTAAACTGCAGAACTGCTGCTGACAGTTGATAAATCAGTCAGAAAAATATATAAATGCACTCATAAACATGCTGTTTTTGTACTTTTTCATTACAGTTTGCTGGAAGATCTTGTGAAAAAGACTTCCTTGGCATCTAACATTTCAGAATCTTGTTTGTAAGTTAACTGGCCAACATTCACATTTTATCCATTTTCAAATGTCTCAGTGAACATCTTGTAAAGCCGGTTTATTTTTGAATGAAAGATGTTTCAGTTGTTATTGCTATTATTATTTTCTTTATTTCTCATTTGATATAATTTTATCATTTTACTATTTATCATACTATTGTTGCTTCAGTACCATTTTGTATTTTGTGTTTTTCTTTCTTACCCAACTCAGTTGATTTATTTATTTATTTTAATTGCTACTTTGCCTAACAGTTTTATTTAACATGATAAGTCATATTCATATAGCTTTTCATGCCAGTGGCAGCTTAAAGTGCTTTACACACAGGTGATAAAGCTTAACAGTAAAACAAGAAATTATAAGTATTAATTTAGAATCAGAAGAAAATGACACAGATGAAATTATAAGATAAACACCATGAGATGTAGAGTTTTAATTAAATGCTAAGATGAATAGATACATTTTTAGATGCTTTCTAAAAGTGAGCACTGAGCTTGACTGTCTAATAAAAAGTTTAATTGAGTTGCACAGTTTAGAAGCATAACAACTGAACAAGTCTCTCCATGTTTTCTGTATTTTAGGAAGGTATTTTCAGAAGGCCACTATCTGCAGATCTAAGATCTTGTGCTGGAACATAAACAGACAGACACTCTGTGATTTTAATGGGTGTTTGGTTATTTAGAGCCTTAAAACCTAGTAGCAGAACTTTAAAATCTATCCTGAACGATACAGGCAGCCAGTGCAGTTCTTTTAAAATAGGAGTGATCTGATCTCTCTGGTTTGTTTTTGTTAGGATCCACGCTGCCGCATTTTGTACGAGCTTTATAGGATGTATAGTTTTCTTAGGAAGTCCAGTAAGAAGAGCATTACAGTAATCAAGTTTGCTTTTTCAAGCAAAACCATCTACGTGTTATTTGGCTTACAATAATGAGTAAGACAGTCCAAAATATTACAAAAATGACATTTATTTAAATAAACAATTAGGACATGTAATAGAGGGATTTTGGGCTGTTTCTGTAAAACAATGTATTCACAGGCAGTCAAAGTACAGTCACATACAACAGTCTATATTCTATATATGTAAGTCTTAAAATAGAACATAAATATCAATTAGGTTTGGGTGGTCAGGGCATGATGCCAGGATGGACCTGTAGTCAGTGTGGAGCTTTACAGAAGCTCAAAAGCCAGATAATCTCTGACAGCATATTTACAATTCAGTCAAACTTCGGACCCAGATTTTTAATGTCACAGAGAGTTCTGCAAAGAAGATTCAGGCAGAATGTGTACCAGGAAGGTTTCCTAGTAATCACTGCATGCTGTTAGAAATAAAGGTGCGGTGCAGGTGCGTTTTTGTTCATTAAGGTACTAACAATGTAAATGTACCTTCAAGGTACAATATGGTCCTTAATGTCCAGTTGTTTACCTTAGATAAGATTTAAACATAAACCATACTCACTTTCCAGGGGAATGGCAAATACATACTTTTTCATAACTTTTAAAATAAAACATTTACATAATAAAAACCTGGTGTTAAGACATGGTATAACTTAAATGTATAACTGCTACTTTGTGTGTGTGTAAATGCTGCATTTTAATTTTATTTTCATGTACTGCTGACCATATCCTATCTGACATTCCTATTCTCCACTGTACTACAGTGCTGACAAGACCATAATCGCTCTACAGGTCAGGTGTTTTTAATGCTCGTACCTGCAGACTTGTTGCAGACTAGCAGGAATGTTGGGTCACTTAAGACTCAATTACGTGTGTCACAGATGCGGAGAAAATGATGAATGCGCTGAAGCTGTACTGACAACATTGACTGAGCAGCTTGTCCTCTGTGCTGTGATAAGCCATACTGTCATTTTCAGGATGAAATATTGCAGTTATTTCATTTTGCTTACACTGAGTCACAGATATGGCCATTTGTCAGTAACACACAGCAATGTTTGATGTAGTAAAGCCTTTCTTCACTCAGTTAACACCGCTGGCAAAATACTAACTTATGCTGCAGTGTTAAGGCAGTGCAAACTAGCTGTGGATTACCCAAGCGTTTCATGGCAGATGTGGTCAACTGATGACTTAACAATCCTTCAGTTAACATTTCAGTAACATTTCCTGTGACTGTTTCAGATTAAAGATTTGAACATAAAGCATGTAACTGAATATTTCTGAAGGAGCCTAAGTAGCCCGTTAGATATTAGCCTGTTAGCAGGTCAGCTGTCATAGATTTTTTTGTTAGCTATTTAGTGGCAAACATCAACATCAAGGCATATAGTGTTGCTGTCAGAAAAAAAATTCATATCTTGAAAACAGTAACTTTACAGTAGAAGAAAAAAAGCAATGTTAACTTGCAATGGAAGTTAAAGTAACATGTTTTTTTTTCCCTAAAGTAATTCTTGGGGAAGTAATCCAATGATAAGAGTAGCTGGAGTTTTGAAATTATGCAAAAAAGGGAAAATGACAAAAATGGACATTCTTCCATGCATCAACAGCAGTAATATTAAATCAGAAATAGATGCAAGTTGTAAGCTAAGCAGCTAACAGGTTGCTATGAACATTTTGGTTTGTAGAAAACAGTGATATGACAAATGTCAACTAAATCTTTATTTTTGGTGTTTTTGTTTTTTTAATCTGCGAAACATTATTAACTTTTAATTTTTTTTAGGTGGAGGGATAAATGAGTCGAAAAGTCAAGGTGGAGACGTGTCGCTAAGTGAGGTGGCATAGTGAATGGTGAATGCTCACTGTTTTTTTACGGTGCATAGTGGGAATTTTCAGGGAATGAATGTTTGAAGCGCACTGGAATGATTTTGACAATGGTACACCCTAGTAAATGTCTGATTCCCTGTGCAGAACCCAAACTACTGAACTAAGGAGCTCTTTAAGACATAGCCTTGTTCACACTGACCATGTCTAAAGTTATGACCTTTTATACAGGGGCCTCTAATTTCATATTCCAAACTCATCCTGAAAACTATGAATATTTGCAATAAAGTTGATGTGATTTGCAAAGAGATGTGATGTTCACCTCAGCCAAACTGCTAAAAATCTAAAAAGCAGCATTAAGAACACCAGTCCCTTTATAAACTGATTAGTAAACTGTGAGACTGCAATAAAAACTCATTTCCGTTTTTTCTTTTTCTTTTTCTTTTTCTTTTTGTTTTCTTTCTCTTGTGATTTGCCATCCAGACCCTCTGCACTCCGATCCGATCTCTGGTCACCTTGATCCATTTCATCCTGATCCTCTGCATTCTGGTCTGATCTCTGGTCACCTTGATCCATTTCATCCTGATCCTCTGCGCTTTCTGCTTTTCCTGATTCTTTTTCTGACTTTACCCATGTCCATTTATTAGGATTCAGGAATGAAGTGACGCGTTCCATTTTAGATGTGTCCACACTGTAAGCACAAAATTAGCAGATTTATTGCTTATATTACTCAGTAACCATCAGCTTAGTTATGAGTGTCACTGAGGCACAATCAGTATTTAGTGAAGAATAATAGATTATCAGGTAACAGTAGTCTACCTCCAAATTAATATTTCAGCTATTATAAATATATACTATCTGCTCAATTTCATATAGCATGGTCACACAAGTTGTCATAGTTATGTACAGTCAGCTCCATAATTATTGCCAATCTTTAGTACAAATGGTTTAAAATGTAATGAAAAATGTCTTTGTGGTTAATTAGCTCAGTCTCACAGCAGAAATATGACAAAGATCAAACCTTTCACAGCAGTAAGTGTAATCTAACAAAACAAATACCCTCTTCAGAAGATAAAATCTTTTAACAAAATCATGCATCACAATTATTAGCAACCCTGTTATTAGGTCAGGGGGTGGGGATGACTATGTCAGGTCCTTTATGCTGCACTAATTGACTCATTTTTCTTTGGGTCTGGATGTTTTGGATCATTGTCCTACTGGAAGATCCAACAATGGCCCAGTTATAGCTTTTTGGCAGAGATAGCCAGACCTTCATTTAAAATCTGTTTATATTCTACAAACAGGGATCAGGTTCTTTTCTGTATAACCATATTTCTTTTTACACTCACCCTTAGTGTTTGTTGCCAAAAAAACTCTATTTTTGTTTCATCTGACCACAGAATCATGTTCCAATCAAAGTTCAAGTTCCAGGTGCATCTAGCTAACTCCAGGTGCTTATGTTTATGATTTAGATGAAAGTAAGGCCTTTTTTTTGGGTATGACTTCCAAATAGTTTTGGAGGTGGCATCTAACTGTAGTTTTGAAAACTAAATTCTATCATCTTCTGCAATCCTCCAAACAAGCCCCTTGGAGAAAAATTTGTCTCTCTTAGCCATCCTCCTCATTGTGTGTGGGGGTAAAATAAACATGCATTCTCATCCAGACAGGTTCACTATTGCTTCAGTTGTTTTCAGCTTTAGCTATTGCCCTAAAAGTGGTCCAGTCTTAATCAATATATACATCAGTGATATTCCTGATGGGTCCTCTCAGGCAGTGCAGCAGGCTTTTCATGCCAGTGGCAGCTCAAAATTTTGTGACATCCACTGAGAAATATCTGACACACAGCTGGTGAGTTTTGATTATCAGAAGGAATGGAAATATATAACTGTGTCATCAGCATAGCTATAAAAATGATCCTTAATGACCTCACTTAGAGGTAGCATGTAAAAGAGAAAAGCAAAGGCTCTAAAACTGAATCTTGAGAGACTCCACATGAAATGCCAAATCTTTTTGATGAATGAATTTCCATTAAAACCATGATGTGCCTTTTTACCTAAATATGATTTAAACCATTCTAAAACTGTGCCTGAGAGGCCGACTCAGCATTCAAGATGCTGGATTAGAATCTTGTGGTAAATGACATCAAAAGCTTTGATTGATTGATAGATTGTTTTGAATTATTAATCTTATTTGTTTTAGCATTTCATATTTTCTTTACTTGTGTTATTTACTGCTTTACTAATAATGTTTGGTCTTAATTTATTTTCTTTGCTATATTCTACTTTCTTTTTTTACTCTTTTCCCTTGTTTTTTGTAGAATGTTTGCCTACATTGTAAATGTACATCCATAATGTACTCTTAGTTTAAATAAAGGTTGATTGATTGAGGCCCATTTTCAGATGTGTAGCTATTTTTATAGCCACTCTTTATTTTTTTTAACACAGTTTTGTCTCATTTTCATTTGTATGTTCTCTAATTTTCCCCATTTTGATGAATGAAGGGAATTTGAATTTGGCACATTTATAGCCCACTGAAACAGGAAGTCATTCATGACTGCTAAAGAGTTCCTGAACATTCAGGTACTCAGGTTGTGACATGAAATACAAATGGGACCATGCTTCTGTTACATTTTGTCTATAACAATGTATAGGGCCAATAGAGTTTTTGTTTTCTTAGAGGAAAGTTATTTCAATTAAAGGTTAGATTTCTCCCATGCTTTCAGCATGCTATTAAGCTATTTGTCTGTAATTAGCATATAATTTAAAGTGACCAGGTCTTTTCCCATTCCTCTGTGCTAAATGTACTTACAGCAGTTTGCATTCTGATTTCTGCAGCATCTCAGCAAGCTTTTTCGCTGAATCTCCCAGTTTACGATTCTCACGCAGATCCAGCTCTCTCAGGTGTGAAGGGTTTAAGGTAAAAGCTGAAGTCAGAGCAGCACAGCCCTCCTTTTCTATACTGCATTTTTTAAGCCTGTAGACAGAGATAGATTCTTTATATCAGAACACTACAAAAACTATACAATATGATTGATCTCATTATGCAGCATTACATTATTATAATAATGAAAATCATGCGTATTATTATCATGCAACAAAGGTCTCTCATTTGCGAGAAATGAAAGTCTGAATTTGTGAACGTGCAGTCAATATAAGTCTCTGTTCTGTATTCCATTAGATGAGAGTTAAGTTACTTACAGTAGTTTCTGTATTTTACAGTCCTGATTCTCCAGTAGAACACAGAGCTCCTTTATTCCTGCATCTCCCAATTTATTCTCACTCAGATCCAGCTCTCTGATATATGATGGATTTTGACAAAGAGCTGAGCTGAGACTAAAAGAAAATTCCTCTGTAATAGTCTTAACAAGTCTGTAAAGAGTGGGGAGAACAGAGAGAAGTTTCGCTACTGGACACAGTGAAGAAATAAAAATAAAAATTGTGTTGTATAAACTGCAATAAATAATAAACACATCTATCAGAACATTACTTCTGTAGTCACTAAATATTAAAAATGAAATATTAAAACAAGAGGCAATAAAGAGTAGTCTACCCAATAACAGCTATTCAGAAATTATATTTTTATAGTTTAGTCCTGTTAAAAATATTAAAATCAATCATTTTTAATACATATAAACAGATGACACATCTACATTGATACACTTACGTACATATTGAATCTGTTAAGTTATTGAGAATAACAATGAACTATTATGCTAAAATATTTGCATGTTATTAACCCTTTAATGTAGACGATATTACTCACTTCAGTTTCTCCAGTTTACAGAGAGGATTCATCAGTAGATTGCAGAGCTCGTGCACTCCTGATTTATCTAATGTATTCTTGTTGAGATCCAGCTCTCTCAGGTGTGAGGGGTTTACAATTAGAGCAGAAACCAGATCAGCACAGTCTCTCTCTGTAATAGTGCCTGATCTATACAGCCTGCAGAGGAAGACAAAGAAAGTCAGGAGTAGCTATATTTAAAAAATGACTCTCAAACTGTATTATTTTTACTTTTGCTTCATGTATCTGTATAAACTGTAGTTGTATTTTTGGCCAGTGCCCCATAAGTAGTTTCTTTTTGCCAGTGGTGAATCAGTCCAAGGCCAGTTTGTATGTAAATATTTTTAAATACCAGAACAAGAAAATAATTAGAGGTCTGGCATGCAGACTAAAACAACTACACAAAAATAAAATAAAGCATGAAGTATTCCAGCTCTTTCATGAACTTTACATTTTAATTGTGTTTACACATGGACATGTAGCAGCTGCACATATGATTAAACATTCTTTAATGCAGAAACTTTTAATCAGTAATCAGGTAATCCAAACTTTGCATACAAGATGTATTAAGATTTGAAAATGCTTGGGTTCCTGGACATTTTGTGTACAGAATTATTTTTTTGCCTGGACCAGCAACCAAAAGCCAGGAAAATCCTGGCAGTCCTCAATGAAAAGCAAGCTACTGTGAGTGAAAGCAGCTTTAGCTGTACCCTTAACCAGTAGCATTCTGGGTAGATACCCAGTAACAAGATCAAGATTTAAGATTAAGTGACCCTTATTACTCCCACAATGGGGAAATTTCACCTCCACGTTAACCCATCCGTGCAGTGAAACACCACATACACACTAGTGAATGTACACTAGGGGGGCAGTGAGCAGCCCTATTCACAGTGCCCAGGGAGCAGTTGGGGTTAGGTGCCTTGCTCAAGGGCACATCAGTCACGTACTCTTGAGCACATCTACAATAAAATCTAGTAGAATAATGTTCATTGTTCACAGCATAAAGTGCTTCTGTAGCTGTAACTATGTCTCTTTTAGGAACAGACTAATCTGTGTGGGGTGTTTGTTAAACAAGATGTTTCTGTTACAGACTCCTGTGAGGCTACAAATGAATATAAATTTTCTGCACATAAAATTGACTAACTGACACTGAGCTCTGCGAACCTTACAGAGACAAAAGGAACAAGATCTACATCATTTAAAATTAGAGCTTACAAAATCCTGACTAATATAACACAGTCATCCATACCACATTAAAAAAATACTACAACCAAAACAATCACTGGAAATCCATCTGAAGGTGAATGAAAGTGTTTTTAATCTGAATGCATTATTTAACTACAAGAGAAAATTCAAGTTGACTTACAGTGCCAACTAAAACACTTGAAAATTTAAAGCAGTTGTAGATTGAATTGCTGTTAATTGTTGTTGATAACTGGGTTCATATAGTAATTTCAGGTGGTTGCTATGGTTTTTCATGTAGTGGTAGTGTGTTGCTGTTTGGTTGCTATGATATTCCAGCTGGTTGTTAGAGCATTGCTTTGCAGTTGTTAGGTGGTATTTATAGTTGCTAAGGTGTTGCTAAACAGTTGCTAATGGGTCCAAGGTAATTCTTAAGGTGTTACTAGGTGGTTGCGAAAGTGTTTCAGGTGGTTCCTAGGATGTTGCTAGGTGGTTGCTAATGGGTTGCTAGGCTGTTTGAAATGTTATTCCTGGTGGTTGCTAGGCAGCTGCCATTGAAACTTTGGAGGTTGCTATGGTGATATTATGGTATTGGAGGTGATTGCTAGAGTGTTGTTATGAGGTTACCATGAATTCTCTGCTAGGGGGTTGCTAAGTGGTTCCCACTGTGTTCCAGGTGGTTGCTAGCAAGTATGTAAATTGATATATAGATAGTATATGCAAATCCCAGAAAAAGCGCCCACCAGCCATACTGTTAAAATTCAGTCAGCATAATGTGTATGAGCAGTCAATGCCAGCTATGGCTTCCAAATCAAGATATCAAGAAAAAGCAAATTTGATCAGAGGTGCTGATCCATACCAAACCAATAAGTTATCTTTAAGTGCCAATTATGTGTTGTTGTACAACTTTTTCAGGCATAATCCAAACATGAATACTGTATCAGCATACGCACTACAGGAGCTGAAAGCATACAAATCACCAGAATTCTATAATTATTTGGTTTGTAGAAGGATCAGTGATATTCTATTTCCATTTTCTAAGGCCACTGTGATTGCAGTGAGCAATACCTGTATATCTGTGTTTGATGGGGATAAACAATGTAATTTTGACATTAGCAAGTTATGTGAGCCCTGATGACATTCTGACATTAACTACATTTATTGTCCAGCTAAAGCAGAAAGTATCTAGATATAAATAGTTAAACCACATAAGTCAATCGTTAGTCAATGTCAGCCGTCAATTGTGAACAATTCACAACACTGAAAAATGATCAAAACTCCAGAACTACTACTCCTCCTAACTGTCTAGCTGTGACAGACTGATTAGAGCAGACTTTGGTAACGTTATAGGGAGATGCTGAAAGGTTCTCCTGTTTATTCTCTCTATTGAAGATTTCTCCTTAGCTTGCTCAGCTCATTAGTCTCCTTCCCCTCATGAGGTTGAACAGCCAGGGATGCTATAAACCTTACATCTTTTTATTTGTTGTTGCTTTTTTCACTACAGCCATGAAGCTAATAACATAAGCTAATAACATAAGATAACAATGGAGTGCTGGGCTTGTGCTGTCCAGTGACAAGTGACGACAATTGTGGCGTCAATCGAATACTGTCTATAATGTTGGTGAGGGTCAGCGTGAGAAGTGTTCATTGTGACAGATTGGCAGTTAGATTTTAATTTTCTAAACATTCTGCCATTCTGTTCATATATGGGAAGAACTGACTGAGCAAACTCTGTATGGAAACGGTACGTCCAACTGGTCTAGCACAAGCACGCTATTCTGCACAATCACACAAAGTTTAGTAATTCTCTCTCAGAAGCTGTTAGAGAAGAAAGTATTTAACTTTTGAGCATAGAATAATAATATGTTTTAAAAAAGAAAGGTTTTTTTCAACGTAACTTAACAATAACCATCTGAACACTACATGACAAACAATGCACAGATCATGGGCTGTTATTCAGTCTGCTAATGAAATACCAGGTAGACTTCTATGTAGATTAAAAAGGATACACTTTCAAAACCTACCATGGATAATGTAATTCAGTCAGTCTTAAAGCCAGTCTGCAGGGAGAAAAACAGTCTACATGGATATAGAAAAAAACTGCTTACGTAAGTTTCTCCAGTCTGTAGTGTGGCTCCTTCAGCAGAGCACACAGCTGATTCACCTCAATATCTGTTGCTTGTTTCTTGCTCAGATCTAAAGCTTTCTGCAGTAAGGCGTCTTCATGTAGAAATGCATTAAGACAGTTGTAGGCCTCCTCTGCATCATCACTGTTCAGCAGCCTGTAAAGGGAAGAGCAGTACAGCTACATTAATAACTGTATAATGAGGGACATCTCTGTTCAGCAGTCTGTGGAGGGAGGAGCAGTAAAGCTACATTAATAACTGTATATTGAGGAAAAAACAGGAGTCTTCTACTCCTAATAGGGATGTAATGTCATCGGTGTGTAAAGACAGAATGTATCAGTTATAATTTCCTGCCCTCCTTTATCAAGGGCTGTTACTGGAACATTCTATGGCATTTTGCATGTCAGTCAAATGGCCTTGACTGTCAGAGTAGGCAATGAGTAGTCATGCTAAGCTAATAAACCCTCCAGACTTTCTAGCGGAACACTGTTGTAAAAATGTCAGCACTGTACAACTGAAAACAAAGACCCTAAACGAGTGTTTACTATCTACTGCTACTTATCTTACAGCAAACAAACTGAATAGTAGCCACTGTACATTACTGCACTCTTCTTTAATGAAGCGCACAGGATAATAATGTTTATACACAATTTTTTTTTGCTTCTAAATCTTTCCTAATCGCAAACTATCTTAAGACCATATACATTAAAAGCATTTTTACTCTGCTCATAGAACACCCTCAAATGGTCTATCAAATGTAGAACTGGCTCTTGTACATGTTGAAAAACAAATCCTCAATATGTTCATCATTTTTAAATTGTTTTGAAATACATTCATCATAAAGTTTTAACAGAATAAAGTCTGTTAAGTGGAATCTTTGAGTTTAATCAACATATTGAAATTTAGTATAGTCTGTTGCTATTAGTAACTGGAGAAACTGGCAAAGGAGACAAAATTCTACTGGCTCTTCGCTTCATATATTATTTAACTGGTACATAAACTGAGTGAAAAAAAGAAAGCCTGTTTTTTAGATGCTCTTGTCTTTTTATCGATTGCTTTATTATTAAAGTTTGTGAACGTTTTACATTTAAACTTAAACCCACTTATTAGAATTATTATTAGTATTAACGATAGTTTCTAATACATTAATTATCAGTAAGAATTTCCGCACAATCCCTGCATTGTTGGTGTCGGTCCCCATGTTTTACTCACTCACTGTCTCTGTGTTGTCTTTCAAATAATTGGCTATCCTCATTATTTTTGGCATGTTCTCTATTGCTGAGTGGGCTTCACAATGAACTGGGCACTACAGCAACCACTTTTTCAATGAACATAGCAAAAGTAGTTGAACCAACCAATCAACAGAAGTTAAACCAACCATAATAAATCAATTTAATTGAACTTTAATGTATTTAATTTAGCAGTTTAGGCAATTATGATAAATTATGTTGTATCAAAGCAAGACCCTGAAGACTCTGTACCATGAAAACTACTTTTTGTCATCAGTTGTCTTTTATAACTGACCTTGTCTGCGGGTTAGCATTTACATTCTTTCTTCATTTCTGTATTTATCTTTCTTTCTTTATTTATCTACCTGTTTAGTTCTTTGGACTTTAACATTCAGTATAAACCATGTGTTCCTTACTTAAGAAGAGTTTTTGCATTACTTTTGGTAGATTATTGGTCAGTTTAATGTCAGAGGTGAATTCTAGTTTAAAATTTTTCCTTAACTTTTTTTTCATAGTGAATTCATTAATTATTAATGAACCCCCTGGAACAAGAATTAAATGTCTAGTCTAGCTTCTTGAATGTAGGGCAGTTCTTTATTCATAAAATGTTTTTCTGTATAGCATGAAAGAATACCAGTAGTAAATGAAAATATAGTATGTAAAATTACAATGTATTCACAATTTCCCACTCATATATTCAACTTGGACTAAAAATGAAAATTCTAATATTACATGCAAAATAATATCCTCTGTTTGAGATTTTAGTAAATCATACTTATAGTGATCATCATGAGTAGATATATTGCTCTGCTTCCCCTCTTCTACTAATATCAGAACAGTTATAAACTCTACAGCTGCCATGTTTTAGATAAAGCCTTTGTACTCTTTGCGTTGTGATGGGCTGACTGACAGGTCAGCTATGAAAATGAAAACGCAATTGGCAATTTCTAAACCATGCCGTAACAGACTAAGCACTGTACTAAATGTAATTGCAAAGTGAAATGCTGTTTTTCTTTTTTTTTTACATTTGAATTTTAGTAGTGTGGTGCTTTCTCTGATATCGCAGTTCCAAATGTCTCATTACAATGTCAAAATCACATCACTGTCATATCAAAGCCATTTTTCTCCAATTATTATTTTATTACTGACTACAGCAGGCATTCTTTGTATGATGAATGGATCAATAGAAATATTATAAAATTGCTTGGAATAAAATCAACCTATACATTAACTTACATTAAAAGTAAAAAAGTTTTCCTGTAAAGTTACCGTTTTGAGGAACTACATATAAGTGGGAAATTTAAATTCAAATAGAATTTGAATTCAAATAGAATCAAGTAGAAATACACTGTCCTTTTACATATTACATTTTTATATACATTTAGCTTCCATGGTAATTCCATTGTAATTGTAGCATACATCAATCTTTGCGTTTATATTTCTTACCTCAGTTTTCTCTTCAACTTCACAAATAAGTTAATAAGCTCCTCCATTTCTGTATCTCCAGGATCGTTCCCTCTGAGATTCCAGAGCAGCATAGCCTTCACTTGATATACTGCAGAATGAAAGACTGAAGAAAGGACATTTGATGGCTTTATTAAAACAGCATTATTCAACCTTGTTCTGCTTTTAGATAGACAGTGTTCCTAAATATAATTTTCTATTTGCATTTTGTATAAATCACATCTTCACAAACGTGTTCATGATTTTATTTTCTTAACATGAAAAAACTAGAATTCACCCCAGTGTCTGTAGTTTAAGGTTCTGATTGTTCAGTAGAGAACAGATCTGCTTCACTCCAGAGTTTCCGAGTTTGTTCTCACTCAGATCCAGCTCTATCAGGTGTGAAGGATTTGAACAAACAGCTGATGACAGAGCAGCACAGCCTTCTTCTGTAATACTGCTCTTATTCAGCCTGCAGACAGAGAAGAATTGTGGAGAAAAAAGTTTGCACTAGTGTACAAGATAGTAACATCATGCAAGTGACAAAATACCAATGTATACTTGTAATAAATACAATACTTGTATATATTTGGAAACATTAACAAAAAATCAAAATGTACTGAACTACACACTTCAGTATCTGTGTTCTGCAGTGTGAATCCTCCAGTAGATCAGAGATTGTATTTTCCCACTTAGATCCAGCTCTGTCTGCAGTAAGGGGTTCTTTCCTAGAACTTTAGCCAGAGAATCACAGACTTCCTCTGCAGTAGAACTGTTCAACAGTCTGTGGATATGGTAAAACACAAGCAAATAAAAACACTAATATTACTAAAAAGTAGAACTGCCTAGCCATTACCCTTTTTCACTCCCCCTTTAAACACTTTATTGTGTTAATGTGAACATTTCTCATTATCTTTCATACTTGCTACACCAGCTTCATTAGCAGTGATGATTAAAGAATCTAAGCCAACACATTTCTATCTATTTATCTATCTATCTATCTATCTATCTATCTATATCTATATATATATATATATATATATATATATATATACACACACACACACACACACACACACACATCTTAAGAGCCTTCAATGGCTACATATTATGTAGCTGGCTGAGCTGCTCCGTTCATATGCCTCACCTCTAATTGTACAGTCAGCAAATTTAGGCCTTTTCTAGGTTCTGAGGTTTAGACTGAGCTCTAAGGTGGTTGTTCATTGAGAGCAGTATCCTTTATTACTGAAAGACTTTTTACTCAGTCTATTCAAAATGACTTCTCTCTTATTCATTTTTTATTTTATCATTTAAATCTCTCCTAAATACTTGTTTTCACTGTTGACACTAGTCATTGCATGCAGTGCTGTCTATATGTGTCTCACTGTCATGTCTTTATATGGTTCTAAAAGTTATGGTTCTAAACTCCTAAAGATTAAAGTGATAAATACTAAGAATCTTTACCTATTCATTTTAAACAGTATAGGCAAATACAAGCACAGTTTATAAAATGTTAAATCTTTTAGATGTTGAAGGTTGAATAAGGGATGGAAATTTAAAAACAAAATGTCCAAAGCACTGAAAGATGGACAAAGATGGCACAGCAGAGCTCTGTAAGTAAGGAACTACAGTCTATGACAGAGGTAAATTAAAATTCAGTAAGGTCCAGTTAAAGAAAATTTCCTCAAGCAAAGGTCCGGAACATCATAATGTCCAACTTGCATTATGACTCAGTGCCATATACTGTGAACTGAAGTAGCCTAGTAGGTATATCAACATCTTATCCAGTCAACAACTGAATGTCAAATCAAATAAAGTATAATTCAGTGATATTTCAACAACATTTATTGTCAGTTGTCTCAATTTAGAGCGCGCCATGTGAAATAACTTCCCTCTGACTCACTTTCTTCTCCAACTGCCTGTCTCGCCTCGTCACTCCCCTATGTGTGCATCACTCACTTGAGTCTTAGTGCTCATCCTATTGCACAGATCTGATTGATATACGTGATATTTATAACGCATGCAATTGGTCTTTCAGTTTCGTGGGCCGCTGAATCTGTACTGTAATGACTAGAAATGATACGCCGATTAAAATAGGACCACCCCATCAAAATTAATGCTCCATAGTTACAGGTCCAGTTCCGCACAGGATAGTGTTTGGGCCGCCTATTAGTGACCTCTGGTTTATTAGAAAAATAAATTTAAAAGCTCCAAATTGTAATAATTTTATTATTTGTTATTTTAATGTTTTTGACATACTTGACAAACTATTAACTAGACACCTCCTCAAAGCAAGTTTTTAACAATCAAATAAATATTCCAAGCATAAGTGGTAAACACATTGCACATTGCTACCTCAGTGACTTCAGTTTACAATTTGGATCCTCAAGCAGACCAGTAAGCTTATCCACTCCTGTATCTCCAGGATTGTTCCCTCTGAGATCTAGCTCTATCAGGTGTGATGAGGGGTTAGATTTCAGAGCTGAAGCCAGATCAGCATATCCTTCCTCTGTTATATTGCAGAATGAAAGACTGGAGAAAGAGGAAAATATTAATAAAAACTAAATTAAAACTTTTCTTAACCACTGTTTGGTTTCTTAAAATTACTAACTTTAGTTTTTCAAGTTTGGAGTTTGATTCCTTTAGTAGATGTGAAATCTGCTTCACTCCAGAGTTTCCTAGTTTATTCTCACTCAGATCCAGCTCTATCAGGTGTGAAGGATTTAAGCAAAGAGCTGATGATAGAGCAGCACAGCCACGCTCTGTAATGCTGCACTTATTCAGCCTGTAGAAAGAACAAAATGCATATTTTAATCATTTATTTGACCTTTATGAGGATAATAAAATCATTTCCATGCATTAGTATTTTTTTATTATATTAAATAAATGTTGACTGACTTTCTTTACAGATTAAACTAATTAGATTAAACTATGAATTATTCTATAAAAAAGTTACAGTAATAAAATTGTACATAAAATTGCATAGTATTTTTCAGATATTGCATCATATAACACAAAAATAGATTTGACTCAAATAAAATAATACCAACACCTACAAAGAAATGAACTTACTTCAGTGTCTGCGTTCTGCAGTGTAAATCTTTTACTAGACCAGAGAGTTTCTTTATTTCTGAATCTCCTTGTATTTTCCCACTCAGATCCAGCTCTCTTTGCAGTAAGGGATTTATTCCTAAAACGTTACTCAGAGTATCACAGATTTCCATTGCAGAACCACATTTCAACAGCCTGCAAGGAAACAAAATACATAGGCATGATGGCTTTAATTGATGGTAATGTTTTTTTAAGAAAACATATTGAATCTAGTATATCAAAACTGCTCTGCTGGCTGTTATACTATAAAAATAGTTCACCTCAGTTTTTTCAGTTTACATTTTGGACCTTGCAGTAGATCAGTAAGCTCCTTCACTCCTGTATCTCCAGGATCATTCCCTCTGAGATCCAGTTCTATCAGGCGTGATGAGCAGTTTGATTTCAGAGCTGAAGCCAGAGTAGCATATCCTTCCCCTTCAATGTTACAGTTGCTAAATCTGGAAGTAGAATGAAGAAATCAGACTGCCTCTTATGTTTTTTTTTATAAATGCTTTAAGTTTTTTTATTCTTTCCTGTTTCTATTAAAGTCAATTTATTCATAAGTGATCAAAAACTATTACAACTATTACAAAGAGCAGATCACCATCTACAATAATACTATGAAAATGTGCAGAAAGTCATAACTCTCTAGTGTAATTAATAAATATAAAGACAATATTTAAGTACTTTTTTCAATGTAGATCAAACTATTTAACTCTAACTTTCCTGCTAGTGTGTCTCAGAGAGATTTAGCTTCTAAAATTTGCGGTTTTAGAAAGTACTAGGTATCTTCAAAATTCCGAGTTCGACTTTGTCATACAAGTCTCCAAAAAGAAAAAAGCATTTCAAGTCTGGATTACAAAGCTTCTGAAAGGGTCATGATTGCACTGGAGCCCTCATTGAAAAGGCAAAATGCAGTCCTTCCAGGAAAAAAATGAAAGTCTGCTGCATGCAGTGTTCCTAAGATGGATTTAAAAGTTCTGCTGTTAGTTGCTAAAGCTCTAAATGACATTAAAGTTCCTGAATATCTGTATGTTTATAATCTTAGATCTGTAGATACTGACCTTTTGCAAACACTTTTCATAAAATACAGAAAACACAGGGAGGCTTTTTCTGTTATTCTGCTTCTAAACTGTGGAACTCAGTTCACCTGTTACAGTCAAGCATAGCTCTCACTTTTAATACACACATGAAAACATCACTTCAACTTAGAGTTTAATTAAATTCTGTGTCATTCATGTATATTTTTTAAATCTGATCTCTGATTGCTTCATTCAATTTTATTTGTTTTTTTCTATTTTATTCTTTTATATTGTTGTTACCAAACAGTAACTCTACCAGAATAAAATCAAACTCAAATGTAACTTCTATTACTGTTTAACTTTATTATCTGTCTGTATAGCACCTTGAGCTGCCACCTATATGAAAAGTACTCTGTAAATAAAGTCATTAAAGTTATTATAAAAAGAAAATTGAGATTTAACAGTCTTAACAACTCATTCATTACATACCTCTTCAATAATAATTCTATACTTACAGAGCTCATGAAAAATAAATTACTGTAAATATGAATGTACTCTCCCTCTAAACTGCTGTCAGTCCCAGAACACCTTTAGCTGATTTATATTTATAGAGTTGCTGCTCCTAAACACATGTAATTAATCCCTTCATGAAGTATTACTTACATCAGTTTCTCCAGTTTGCAGTGAGGTTGCTTCAATAGGTTGCAAAGCTTCTGCACTCCTGATTTATCTAGTTTATTTCCATTCAGATCCAGTTGTCTCAGATGTGAGGGGTTTACAATGAGAGCAGAAAACAGATCAGCACAGTCTCTCTCTGTCAAACTGCCTGTTTTATAAAGCCTGTAGAAAAAGAGAGCAAGAGAGAGAGATGGAGATACAAAGTAAGAGAGAAAGTAATTATTCTCTGTCAGAGATACTCAGCAGAGCCACTTTCAGACTAAATACAGGCTGGAAGACCATAGCCTGGCGATAGAGCAAGGCAGGCACAGAAAAACCTCAGGGGAAAGTCAAGAGAGGATAAGACAGAAAAACAATTTCTCTTTATTGTCAAAAAAAAAAGAAAAACATAGAGATAAATACTTCAGTAAATTCAGAAATGAAATCCCTGAATTCAGTGGACTCCCTGAACTACAGAAACTGAAAAAATATTATTAGGAGAGGGCCAAAATGCTACTCTGGCTAGCCGATCTGTAGATGAGTGCAGAGAGAGAGGGTCAGTACAGTGAAGGGACACCATCAGTGAAATATATCAAAATGTACATAATTAAATATTTATAAAATGCTTTATGCTTTTACACACACCCATGTATATTTATGGAACTTTATGTATGAAATATCTTTGTAAATTCTGTGTGTATGAACTGTGTGTGTGTGTGTGTGTGTGTGTGAGAAAGAGAGAGAGAGAGAGAGAGAGAGAGAGAAAGAAAGAGAGAGAGAGTCAATGGTCACCATATGTAAAAATGAAAATACATTATTTTTTCACTACAGTTTAATTTTCTGAACATTCTGACATTCATTTCATAGGTCGGAAAATCAGATTTGAGCAATATTTTCATAATAAAATCATAATA